TTAAATACAAACAATGCGAAAGAAAAGACCCACGCTAGCAAGGTAAATACAACCAGTGATGTCAGCAATCGTTTTCATTCGTTCCCAGGGCCCGGACATGTTTTGAAGCCAAAATGCGGTTTTCAACACTAAAAAAGACAACTTTCCCCTTTTTTCTGGCGAAAACAAATTAGCCCACGATAATCAGCGTGTTTCAATCCAATAAATTTTGAAAAAATCTCAGATACGAAAATTTCGTTTCAGTAGCACTTTAAATGCCGTTGCTCTCTTGATGCAAAATTAACATCATTTTTTGTAAATAAACGAACAGGATTTCGTCTGTGCAAAACTTCAGCGTCCAGGTTTTTGCTGGGATTTGTCAAGAGCTGACGAGATAGTTGAGCAATGCCTTGAGGCTGTTACGGATCCTTATCATGTACAAATGGTTCGAGAGGTTTGTGAAGCTTTTAGGAAAAATGTGAAACCAAAACTACATCTCTTGCCCAAGCAAATCATCCACGGCGACGCAAATTACTCCAATCTTATTTTTACTCCAGGAAGTAATGGTTTTACACCATACTCTGTGCAAGATATTGGTTTCATAGACTTTGGAGACCTTAACTACAGTTGTAAAGTATTTGACATCGCCATTTCCCTGATGTACATTTTGAACGTTGAAGAGGTTTTCAACTGCGAGCGAACTCAAATGGCGGGAAATTTCTTAGCAGGATATCATTCGATGCATCCCTTATCTAGCGAGGAGTTGGAGGTCTTGCCTGTGCTGGTAGCGTCAAGGTTTTGTCAGTCATTGGTATTTGGCGCTTATATCAGCAAGCACGTTGATCATGGAAATGAATATATCTTGGAAACTGCCAAGAACGGGTGGAAAAATTTTGAACAATTTTGGAAGACACCAAGGGAGGGGGTGCTCCAATTATGGTTGGATATGAGGGAAAACACACGACAAAACTAAAATGGACTTTGAGAGTATCGGTGTGGAGAAAATGACATAAAGAATATCAACACGAGTTTCACAAAAGGTCATGATTATCACCATAATTTTAACAGTCAAATTGTTTCATCTGTTATTTGATTTTAATTTTTAGAGCCGTTTTCAAATGAGTGTCGAAAGTAATCTTGGATTACAATGGTTTTAATAGGTGTTGCTTCACTTCCCTCTGTGATTGGTCCAGAAAGCTCGCGCTGCCTTCTCAACCAATCAGATGCAAAACCTGAACCAATCATGACTTGGTCGCCCGCGTTTTCCCGCGCTTTGGGCAGTTTGCTTTGGTTTTTCTTTACTTTGCTTTGGGGTTGGTCCAGAAAATTCGCGCGACTCTTTCAACCAATCAGATGCAAATTAAAACTAATTATGACTTGGTAGCCCGCATTTTCCCGCGCTTTAGGCAATTTGCTTTGGTTTTTCTTTACTTTGCTCTGTGATTGGTCCAGAAAATTTGCGCGACTCTCTCAACCAATCAGATGCAAATTAAAACTGATCATGACTTGGTAGCCCGCGTTTTCTCGCGCTTTGGGCAGTTTGCTTTGGTTTTTCTTTACTTTGCTCTGGGGTTGGTGCAGAAAGCTGGCGCCACTCTCTCAACCAATCGGATGCAAATTAAAACTGATCATAACTTGGTAGCCCGCGTTTTCCCGCGCTTTAGGCATTCTGCTTTGGTTTTTCTTTACTTTGCTCTGTGGTTGGTCCAGAAAATTCGCGTGACTCTCTCAACCAATCAGATGCAAATTAAAATGGTAGCCCGCGTTTTCCCGCGCTTTGGGCTGTTTGCTTGGTTTTACTTTGAGTTCTTATTGGCTCTTTAAGATATTTTCCTTTCTTTTGACCGGCCGTTGTGATTCCTTTGGTTTTAGATTTCTGACACTTAATCGAAGAGTGCGTTTGGTTAATAAAGTGGAAAAGACTTTATTGGTATAAAGATTATTCATTTTTGCTTGGTGTAGCTCGAGTTTCTCTGTAACTCTTAATATTCCTTGGCTGATAATCATCATCATCGTCATCATCATCACCACTATTATTATTTTTATCATTTTATACTAAATAAAATATTTCTTTCGATGACGAACGTATATTAGATCATAAAATGCAATTAGGAATTTCCGTAGTATTCGCTCAAAATTAAAGATTGGATGAGGGTGATTTACAAGGGGTCGTGATAAACACCTCATTCTTGTGTTATTCCCTCCAAGTTCCTATGGCAAAAAAGCAAAAATACGATCCCCCTCCCTCCCCCCCCCCCATCCGAGAAAACTATGCCAAAGTCATATTCAATTCAATTATACGTACATTATAATAAATTAGGTTATCTTTGCTACCGCTGAGTAGCATAGAGTGATTTTCTTCTCAACGAGCACGTCTTGCACTTCACTCCTTTAGGACTGTTTTGGACGGCCTAATCTCCTGGATTCTTGGTAGTTTTATTCGTGGATAGTGCGGATAATACTATTCTCAGCCTTTCCGAACAAATGACCAACCACTTCCATGTTCTTCTATAAGTGCTTTTAGTCTATACGGCTTTGTTGTGTCCCTTCCCATAATTCTTCGTATTAAATGACCTCAAGCCATCCGATGTTCAAAACATTTCGTAAACACTTGTCGGCCGGACAACACACCAAAAATATACTAAACTGATATCGAGATCCTTCAGAACGGCTATAAACATAAACTAATCTCGAAATCTTTCGGAACGTTTCTCTAAAACATTCGGCTATAAAACTTTAAAACTATACAATAACTGCTAA